TCTCGCATACAGGACAGCTCCTTGTCCTCACTGTCCCAGGTGGTCCATCCTGAAGAAATGGTATCCATCCGTAGCAGCACTCCAGGCTTGTGAGCTATCCTGCAGCATCTCTTGTCATCCCAGTGAGACTGTAGGCCTGCGACTGCACATGGACCTCTTCATTCCTCCTGCTTGTTCCCTGCTTGAGAGGCGCTTGTTTGTGCTGATTTCTCAGAAGAGGTGTGAGAACTTTCCCCACTGTGCTGTCCTGGAGGTAGTTCTTTACACTTCTTCAGTGCACGTACACTGAAGTGGGCTCCTTCCACTCCATTTTGTTGTTTACGAGGTCTCTCCTCTGCACATCACCCTGCACATTTTGCCTTCCAAACGACTAAACCGTGAGCGGGAAATGTTGAGAGGAGACTCTTTGAAGATCAGTCCTGCAGGGGATGAGATGGAAAGAGGTCCCTCACGGCGGAGAGGGGCAAGATTTGGGAAAGCTCCTTTCTGTGCCTTCCATAGTGTGCAGGGGTGGGGTGGGTACCTGTACCTGGACATTCTTGTTCTCCTGTTTGCTGGACTAGTGTGGGTTGTACTCTGGAAGCCGAGTAAGTAAAGGCTGGACAGTGCTGATCCTTGAGTTTCCTGACATCTAAGGTACAGCAGTAATTTTGTGATGTGCTGGCAGCAAGCAGTGTGCTGATAATGTGCAACAGGGCACACTGGGTGCCTCCCAAGTGGTTTTGGGGCATGAGGTCTGATGGTTCTGTTTGGACCCAAGCTACTGGAATTAAAGAAATAGTTTCCAACAGAAGAATCCCATAAGCCAAGCTTCAATCCCATACTCAGGCAGAAATGGGTTCTCATTACTCTAATCACAGAATGACGGGGATTGGAAGGGACCTCTGTCCTCCTGACACCCACCCTTCAGATATTTGTAAGTATATATTAGATCCCCTCGCAGCCTTCTCTTCTCCAGGCTGAACAAGCCCAGCTCCCTCAGCCTCTCCTCATAGGAGAGATGTTCCAGTCCCCTCACCATCCTCGTAGTTCTCCACTGGACTCTCTGCAGTAGCTCCTCATCTTTCATGAACTGGAGAGCCCAGAACTGGACCCAGTACTCCAGATGGGGCCTCCCCAGGGCAGTGTAGAGGGGAAGGAAAACCTCCCTCGACCTGCTGGCCACTCTGCTTAATGCACCCCAGGATGCCTTTGGCCTTCTTGGCAACCAGGGCACACAATCTATGTCTATAAATCATAAGGGCTCAAAAATTCAATTTAGTTTGTCACATTAATATCTCTGAGGTCCCTTTCTTCCTGTGAAACTTGAGCTTACTGGTCCACATGTCTATGCTGTCTGCTGTGACTTCCCTTTCCTTGTTGCATCTTTTCCTATTTTTATTAAACCTAGCTTTACCAAAACTGGGATTTTAAACTGGGAATTTAAAAGATTAGATTCAGATATTTTCATGCTTTTTTTTTTTCCTTTCCTTTTTTTTCTTGTTGTCCTGGCCAGGTCATTTAAAGCCACACTGTACTTCGCCAGTGCCAGATGTATTTTAAAATGATAACAGGCTGGGGGTGAGCTTGCAAGCAGGACCAGAGCCTTGGTGGTAATTCAGTAGCAGCTTGGGCTCCTAGTCAGTGATGGTTGTTACCGGGAGCGAGATTGTTAATGAGGAGTTTTGGAGCTGCTGCACTGAAATGATTAGACAGAGCATCGAATCCAGTAATATAAATCTAAAGGAGATTCTTATCGCTCTGTCTTTTTTCATTCTTTCTCCTCCTCCTCTATGCCAACCCATCGCTCTTCACAGCCCTCTCCTGGACTTTCATCTGCCTGACCAAGACTCCAGGTTGACTTGTATCATCCTGTACCGTAAGCTGGGTCAATCCACCTGGTCTTGGAGCACGTTCACAGTTCGGTTAGGTACTTGTCTGTGGGTGACCAGTGACTTTATAATAAGGACTTCATCTCAGAAGAATCTGAGAAATGAGTAGTCAGACCTTAAAGGAACTTTTTAATGTAACACAGAAGTGGAAACTGTTTAGAAATAGTTTTCCTTGGCTTTTTTTGAGGCCGGGGAGGGGAAACCAATTTGGTTTATTGGAATATTTTCACAGCATGGTTATCACAAAGCTCTGAGATTCTGCTGGTGTGTGCACATGTGCACTAGGAGCTGCAGTAGAGTTACAATACAGACCACCACTTGCATGTCTTGCTTTCAGCTCTACCAGCTTTCGGAAAACCTCTTTTCCTTTTTGCTTGGACTCCTCTTGAAAGTTAAGACTTCCTTGAAACTCTTGAATAAGGTCTTCTGGAAGTTAAGGAAGTTAATAATTAATAATAATAATAATAAACTCTTGCAGAATTTCCAGCAGTGTCTTTTTCACAGCTGGTATTTGAAATGTGAAAATAGTTCACTTGCTGGCTTTAGGAAGCTGCAAGTGGTTTGACAAGTAGAGTGGTGAAAACTGCCTTTTTTTTTAAGTAATATCTGAAAAATGCCAAAGCAAAAAGATGTGAGAAGATGGTAGACTGCTATCTGCTTGCTAAACACTGTCTGATACAGGCTAAAAACACACAGGTTGGTTAGAACTGGCGTCCTGTGTAGGTCCTCTTCTCTTCTTCCAGCTCCAGCCCTCTTTGTTTTCTCTTTTCTTTCTTCTGCTTTCCCTGCAAAGATTGTTCTTGCTTGTAAGGAAGAACAGGGATGGAAGTCATCCACCTGCAAGGCCTGTTTGACCTTCTGTGCGTCAGTCACCAGCAGTCTTATGTTCACTGGGAAAAGGCACCCTTGTGCGGAGTCGACAGGAGCTCGAACCGTGCCGGGGGGTGCGGATGAGACCACCCAGGTCCTCAGCTCCGTCTCGATGCTGTCCTTTCTGCTGGCAAAGTCTGGCTGCCGCCGTGTCTGCGGTCAAAGTTTTCATAGGTGGAGTCTTGCAGCTGTGGCCTGGTGGTAGAAGAAGTAAATAAAGTGAAGACACATTTCTGGCTGCTCTAGGCTTTCTAAGAGGCTTCAGCTAGTAGTGAAGGAGTGTCAGAGTGAGTGTCTGCAATACTGATACGGATCCTCCCCTCTGCAGCAGGTAGTTTTTAAGCATCTGAGTTGCATCTTATGTTTTACATCTTAAAGCATCCAGAGTGATCTCCCACACCGTTAGCACTGACTACTACTAGTGTCCTGCTGCTCAGAGCCTCAGGAGCTGCAAACGTCTCCTGAGAAGGATCTTCTCACGCAGAGCATGGAGGATCTTTGTTCTTAACCTTTTATCCATTCATGTATCTATACAAACACAGTCAAGGGTGCAGTATGATTTAGACGCTGTTAAATCAGCAAAACTATGCTTTTGCAAATAATTATTACGAATTTAACTAGGATTAAATTCCCCATTGCCTCTTTGGCCGTGTCCTGATGCTGTATACTTGACTGTCCTGCTGAGATGGCCATCTTTCTTGGGTAAGGTGAGGGAAGGAGAGACCAGAGGGATAACTGGGGTTGGAAGGGAGCAGTCTTGGGCAGACGTAATTACGCTGACCTCAGGTACAGCTTCTTTAGGTTTAGTCTAAGGGTTGTTTTTGTTTTCTAGTTTGGCTTTTTTCCCCCCATCCCTTCCTAGCTTGGCCACTAGAGCCGTAAGGGGTGTCCAGGGTCAGTGTTGTGCTGGGTAATGGGAAATGCCAAGGGCGCTGTGGGAGTGTGGCATGGATGCCAGTCAAAGCGTCGGGCCCTGCCACACCTGAGCTGGCTCTGAGGTGGACTGCTTGGCATCTCCATCCCTTTTCTACAATTGACAGCTCTCATCGGCTTTGGTGTGGGCCCTCTTCCTGCCCCATTAGAGACTGAGGTGCAGAGGGAGGGGAAGGTTTCTGTTGCACAGTTTTCCCTCTGTTGCTCATCGTTCCTCAGCCTAGCACAGATCCCATCCCAGCCTGTTCCCCTTGCCTTTCCCTCGAGTGAGTGGTTCGTTTACTCATTTAATGTGGTTTCCTGCCACGCTCTGGGCCTATGCCCCATCCCAACTTCTGCTAGCCCTTTGCTGCTGTAGCGTCCATGTGCTGTGGTCTCTCTAATCTGCTGCCCTAGTCCCTTGTCCTCACATCAGTGGGGTCTCTTCTCAGCTGTACCCAAGCCAGAGCCTCCTCCCAGCGATGCCCAAGCCCTGGTCCCTCACACCAGCTCCCTGGCCCTCAGCCCAACCCTGTCCTTTGCCAGGAGCCTGCTCTCAGGCCAGAAGGTTGTTGCCAAGACCAAGGACACATTGCATTTCTTTCCTTAGCCATCTCCACCCTCCTGTGGGGTAACATGAGTAGAAGGCAGGATGTCCTTACCGGGCCAGGCTGGATGGGGCAGAGGAGGGACCTGCGAAGTGGGAAGGAAGACGTGGGTTAGCAATGTGGTCGGAGTGAGCTGCAGAGACAGGACTGACCTAGAGCTGTTGGTAAGCTGCACTAGAGAGGGTGGTGATGGCACCCCAGGGAGTGGGGAGAAGACCTTTGGTCAGGCGCGTGGTCCCCTTCATGAGAGTGGGAGTATAAGGAGCAAAGCGTTTCTGATTTGTCTTACGGATTCTACAGTTTGAGGCAAGTGGTGGCTTTCACAAGGTGTTGACATCAGACTGTGTCTACAGATGAGTAATGGTGATGTGACATCTTGTCCCACCAGAAAGGCAGAACCCAGAGTCCCTCCTGGTCCCCTCCTCCCCTCGCCATTGCACAGCAGGGTAGTGGGCTGGGAGCCTCCGGGCTTCTTGGAGTTCTCATCCCTCAGTCCATGAGCTGATGCTCATCTCATACGAGCTGGGCTGTCCCTGCTCTCCTAGCTCTGATGTGGCTGGAAGGTGGGATTTCACTGAATGATTGGGAAGCACCCGGGTAGTGATGCCTGAGGGACCAAGAGGGATGGTCTGTAAAATGAGGATGCCCACGCCAAGAGACTGAACTGTTGTGTGTGATGTAGCAAAGGTAAGTCCTGCCCATGGGCTATAGGGGAAGAGGTAGTAATTAGTCCACTTCAAGAAAAAAAAAAAGTTTAAAATCTGGTTGTGTAGGCAGCGTGTTCTCTGCTAATTGCCCATGGTAGGTCATTAACCTTTGTACTGAGGTGCAGGGAGACTCCTGCTCCCTCTGTCTTTTCAAAGATTGCTTCCCAAGTGAGACCTCCCATCTGCAGGCTGCGACTGGCCAGCCAGGAGGTCCCTCTTACTTGTTCTTAGATTTCCCACTGGAAATGTCCTTCTTCTAGGGTGGAAAATCATATTTTAAAAAAAGAAACAAAATATAACCAACCCCTCCTCCCTGACTTTTATCTGCCACATCCCATCGCTGGTTATCAGTCTGGTGGAGGAAGACTACCGAGGCAAACAGCGATACATACCTCCTCTTGAGAAAAAGGCGAAGCCCAGTATCACCAGGAAAATGAGCACTTTAATTCCCAGTGGAACAAAAATCAGTATCAGGAAAAAGGAGCTGTTGGATGCTTTGAATTTATAGAAGTACACGGTCCCCTCTGCTCTCCCGTGGCCGTTGACAGCCGTGCAGGTGTATTTTCCGTCATGGGTCAGGTACCGGAGCTCCTTGGTGACGCGGTGGTTCATGCTGGTGGTGGAGGTGAGGTTGCTGTTGGGGGGTCCGGTCCAGGTGAGAGTGGGCGCAGGCTCGCCCTCGGCTGTGCAGCGTGCCTGGAAGGTCTGATCCCCATTGGAGATGACCGTGATGTTGATGATCCGGGGGGCAGCTGCAGAAATTGCAACAGAGGAGGGAAATTGTGCCAGGCTTCAAAGGCAGGTCTTGCACAGAACACCTAAAATGAGCACTTGGTGGACCCTCAGTGTGATGTGTCAGGGTAACGTTGGGATCAAACTTCCTCTTCCTTGTTTTTCTTGGCACTTTTTTCTCCTACGTTTTCCCACCCTGCTTGTGTTGTACAGAGGAGCAAAGGGCTTCACCCAGCAAAGCCTGGGTGCAAGGATGTGTGCTCCATTTGTGTTTTATCCCCGTAATGTCTTACACAATTTTCTGAGCTTTGGTCAACTTCAGCCTTTGTAAACTTCTGCGGTGGCAGAAGGCAGAGGCACTGTGCTGTGAGAGGGCAATCATCCATGAAGATGAGTTGCTTTCTGCAGCTGCACCTTGAATCGCAGCCCAGTCCTATCCATGACATAGGCATGGGTGCTGCTGGTGACCTTTTCGAACTGGCTGATCTGCACATGGTCCAGGAGTAGGCAACCATGGTGCTCTCCTGCAAGGGTCTTGTGTCTGTTCCTTTGGTCTCTGACCTCCAGAGCACACGTGGAGGGATCTGTTTGTGCGAACCCTTTGCTCAGCATCTGAAACTTGCCAGATTTGGCAAATTATGGACAGGGAACATTTCAACTCTTTGCTACAACCTATTTTTGAACTTTTCTTCTAGCCCTGTAATGACAGGTGGTATAGGTTCCTGGATGCTTTGTGGTAGCGCACCAATACCAAGATAGGGCCACTAATTTCTTGTCCTGTATTTGTAGCAGAGGGGATTGTGTGACTGAATGAACAGTGGTAAAGATCGTTTGGGGCATGCAAAATGTTGAGAGGCACCATTGAGTGTGTTGTCTTTGGTCTAGTCTGCTAAGGAAGTGTAGTTGGTATCACCAAGGTTGTCTTACCCATTGCTCCTCTCCTGATAGACCTGTTGACCCATTTCATGCATTTGGTTTCTAAAGGCATAGTGAAAACTGGAGGGAGGTAAATGCGTGTCCCCACGGAGGACAAGATGTTCAATATTGATTTCATTTTTTGTCAAGCTAGGCAACAAATATATAGCTTGCAGCCACCTGCAGCACGTCTTCCCCTTTGTCTGTTGATACCCGTAGTGCAGGAGGAGTGGGAACCTGGAGGATTGATGCATAAGAAAGCTAGCTGTGCTAATTTTGTGTCATGTCTGCATGTTTAACCTTTTAGGCATTATTTAACCCCTGCTGTTCATACTGTCAGGGCCCAGTCCCGAAGCGGCGTGCAGGCTGGGTACCGTATCTGCCTATGTTGTCATTCCTCTGATGTTAAAATCCAGACAGTGCCTGAGAGACAGATTTTGCAGCCGTCCTGGCCTGGTCATGCTGTGTGTGTGGGTGCTTAGGAGCTACTCCAGGTGAAGGAGACCTATGGTCATGCTGTGTGTGTGGCTGCTTGGGAGCTGCTCCAGGTGAAGGAGACCCATGGCCATGCTGTGTGTGTGTGGGTGCTTGGGAGCTGCTGTAAGTGACTCGACTGCGCAGCAGTTCCTGAGAAGTAACTGAGCTCATCCTTAGGTCCCATCTGGATGCCCGCAGTGCACGGCAGGTGTAAGGCGGTTTCACTTCACAAGCAGAATCATCCAACACATGGGACCTCTGCCCTCGAGGGTGAGGTCTGAGTCTGTTCCTGGGGCCGCCTGGGTCTCGAAGGGCTGCTGTAGGTGACCCTGCTTCGGCAGGAGGGTTGGACTAGATGACCCACAGAGGTCCCTTCCAACCCCTACCAT